ACTCCCCCTTGGTCTGACTCCCCCTTGGCTGGCCTTTTCCTCTCTCTCTCTACCATAATGCTCAGCAAGGTGGGTAGGTATTGGGGGGGAGCACATAATTTGCCCCACACGTGCTGAAATACTGCAACAGAGCAGCTCATAAATTTTCTTCATCATAGAATATAAAGTAATAATCATTAAGCAGGGGGAGAATATTACGGGCAGGGAGCAGAACAGTCTGTCTGGGCAATGCCGAGTTGGCTGCAGCCCTGGTCTGTTTGTAGGGATAGGGGAGGCTGCAGCTGAATCATGTCATGCGAGACACGCGCTGCACCGGTTGGAGCTCGGAGCGAAGCCGTTGTGCCTCTGCCTGCGCTTGCAGTGGGCACAAGCACTTGCAAAATCAGCAAAAAGGTTGTGTGAGCCGGAGATTTTCGGGAAGCTTGCAGAGCTGGGGAGCAGGAAGGAGTGGGTGAGTGAAGGGGTGACAGCAGCGACTGGTAGAAGAAGATGGAGGGAGAGAAATCGGTGGCAGCTGGGCGGGCAGAGATACACCAGTTAGACAGGCAGGAGAGCACCAGTGGAAAGGGAGGGAATGGGTTTAGCGGAGGTGCGGAATGGGGCTGGAGAGCATTTGTAAGCTTTCAGCTAGTCTCTCAACACTTTTCTGTTCTACTGTAATTAATTTTGCTGCTAGTCTGAACAGGTTTATGTATGGTGAATGTAAATGAGACCAGCGGGTTGCTGAGGTCTGTAAGAAATGCAAAACGAATGTGTGGTTCATGACAGATAACTGCTCTGGCTTGTGTCCGTGGACCTGACAGTGTTGTACACAGTCAGACAGGAGGATCTTGATCCTGCCGACGCTTATAACCATTAGCATCTTACGGTATGCTCCTAACTTCCTTTGAGCATATACACCTCTGTGTTTGAGGTGTCAGGGCTTACACCTGGCTGTGAATTCTTACAAAGAACTCATTGAAAGATTAAAATATAAAACCAGTCAACATTAATTGGCTAAGGACACTCCAAAACAGAGCAGGATCCTGAGAAAAAGTGCCAGAATTAGATCCTAACATTATTTCTTCTGTGTTCAAAAGTACCTTGGGTTTCACAGGCAGCTTTTTGTTTGTTTTTCTGTTTCTAATTTGGTTTAACCCACGATGTCAAGACTGAAAGGCAGAAAATCCCCACCCAGCAGAGAAAGTCTTGCAAGACTGAAAAGAGGAAGACCTATTTTGCAACCAGGGTGGTTTCCCCCTGGGACACACATGGTGATGAACAGGCGGAGTAACGTTTTTATTGTAGGTTAAAACTTAGAAAACTTGGATTTCCTTTGCCCGTGTGCACACTTTTCAAGTACATACCAGGGAAGGAAGGAGGACTAGATGAGACCCAGTACATATTGCGGTATCGCTTGAGCATACTATCTGAATATGGCCAGGTACCTTGCCCCCTCCAAAGCCCCCTTCCAGTTTCCAAAATCAAGACGAGGCCAATGGAAACCAGAGCTGCCCAGCACCCAGGAGGGTCAGGGTCTTTAACTGTAAGACTAACTACAGTGAACTGGAGATCGAGGATATTGATGAATTAATTAACTGCTTAGTTCAGATGACTACATGTGGGAAGACGGAGAAAATATTATATAAGAAGGGAAGGAAAGCATGCTGAGCTGAGGCCATAAAGGAAACCAACTTTTCTCTTCAGTCACTTCGAACTCCTAATTGCTTCCATTAGTTAGAACAGTTATTTTAATAATCCAACAAATGGCTTTTCTTGGCATCATCATAGCATTTTTCATCTGAATAGGGATTTTGTGGAACTGGATGGAAGGACAGATCAGACGCCAGTCCGCTTTGTAAACCCAGGTACAGCATGAGTTCAGCAGAGCGTGTCACGCAGGCTGTGCTCCTGTCTCTACTGATGCTGTCAGGAGCACTAAGAGGTTCTTGCCTCTTTTAGAGTCATCCCTGCAGATGAGGCAGAGCTAGGACTGAATTACTGTTAAAGGACAGCCTGAATGGGAGAGCTGCTGTAGTGTGTTCAGATCCCACTGGAAGCAGGGACGATTCTGGAGGGTGCCTGGAGACCCCAGCAAGCATGGGCAGTGGCAGAGCTCTGCCAGAGCAAGCACGATAGCTCATTTACTTTGGCACCCAGCGAATCAGGAGCTTAGTAAAGATGGGAGGAAGAGTTTGGTGGCAGCAACTGGCCCTCATCAGTGAAACACAGAACTCCCTCAAGGCCTGCCTTCAACCATTCGCTGCCATCCCCCTCCTGCTTCTTCCCCCCGCCGTTCACAGAAGCAACCTTGCGACATCCCTGCCCTTCAGAAATCCTTGCTGGTGCTACTGTGGCAGGGTCACGGTGCCAGATAGCGTTGCCTAAACTGCCAAGTGCCATGTGCACGCTTTGCTTCCAGGGCAGGCACTTTGGAGCCAGAAATCTGACAGCAAAAGAGTCGGTTTGTTGTGAAAGTGACCCCTTCCGCTGCCCCCAAGAGAGAAAATCCCCAAACGCACGGAAGGAGGCAGTTTTCAGTGGGAGGCCCAGCCGATAGCAGTGGTCAGATTGCAAGCAGTGGCATTTGGCCACAAAACAGGACTGTCCTTTGAGCTCACCTGTAGCCTGCTGCCCTAGCCTTCTCCTCCAGGTGAATGAGGAGCACTGCGTGTCCTGCCTGGGAAGCTGTTGCGGTGTCACAGCCACCATTGTCTAAGACTTCAACACAGGCATGGGCTTTATATCTAATGTAAGTGTTGTAAAAGATGTTTTATTAAGAAAAGGTCTGTGTCTAAGGTGTCTCACCAGTTAAACCACTGATCTGAGGAGCTTCTACAGACTAGGCAAGCATTTGGAAGAAGGGCTTTACTTCTTTACCACCTAAGAAGACAGCGGCATTGACTTAAAATGGTACCACTGACGTCTCTCTCTGCTTTGGTGAACAGTAGTGAGGACTCAGGCTAGTTTGTTTCTTATGTTTGTGTTTCAGTGCTATCCATTTCACTCGCGTATCCCAGATTTTAAAACAACTTTGTATTCAGACCACAATTGATAATGCATGGCTTGCTATTTTAGCAGGGTTTAATACAACAAACGTTTGAAAGAAACTGAGAAGCTCTCACCTGTTTGTTCTTTTACATGTTTTAGGAAGATAGTGCTTTAGTAATAATAAGCACAGAATTCCTTTTTCCTGAGTTGGAGGTGACAAATAACACCTGGTACAAGTGTGCAGCAGGTCAGGGAGTGTCATTACAAGTGGCTGAGTAAGGGAAGATCCCTGGAGTTTCAAGAACAAACATGGCAATGTTCAGAAAATTAATGGGTGAATTACAATACACACCCTCCAAGACTCTTCACATAATAAATATGCTGTGTCCATTAGACCATTTTAATTTCTCTTTGCCCACTTTCTTAGAGCACAGAAGTCTGATGGTATTGCCATTGAAATCAAAATGAAATATTTCAGTGCTCTCTGCACAGGATGAGCATCTTATTATGTTTCAGTAGCATTTGTTTTATTCCACAGAAAAAGTTTCTTTAATTCTGCTTAAGCTCTACTTGATTTAATAGGTGTGTTTTAAACAGAATTACATGGATTTAAATGTGGCCCTTCTGAGAGAAAGAACTGAAAAATTCCCCACCGAGTTGATCATTGGTAGCATTTGCTAACTGTGGCTTCCTCCCCTTCAGATGTTGACGTAATTAATTGTGTCATTTAACAGTTCACAGAAACTGATATTAATAAATACAAACTGGTAACTTGTCCTGAAGTAGCATGGAGTTCTTGGATAACTGTTAAAAATCACGTAAAGGGAGAACACATCCTGTCTGGCAAGTTGAGGTGTAAAATACATTACACTCAACCGGGCGGCTGCACAAACATGTCTGAAATTGCAGGAGGAGGCCACCGCTTTCTTCTGTGACTGTAAGAACCTGTCAGCAAGGTCTCGTGCTGCATAGGAGCTCTCACAGGGCTTGGCTGCAGAGTTTAAAAGGCAGTAACCAGGTGACTGGGCTGAGCAGCAGACCCATGGTATAATAAACTGTGGCTTAGTCGAGGCTTTTTGCACTTGTTTTTTCATTTTTTCCTATGCTGCTGGTTTTAATGCCTTTTTTTTTTTTCCTATGCTGCTGGTATTTAAAGTTTTGGTTCCTCTTTTTTTAAGAACTTGTTACCTGTAATGTACATACAGAGGTACTGTGCTGTGTATGGGTGTCTTGTGCACATCAGAAACTTTATTCATAGCTATTCCAGACACTGCCCACATGATCTTTACTTTCTCAAACCTGTTTCACCATCAAAGAGGAACAGTTGAACAATAAGGCCAAAAGCACTGCATGCATTTATGAGTGCTTCAGAACATACCCATTAAATCATTTAGAAACAAGTTTTTTCAGCCTTGAAAATCAGCAATGGCAGTCTTGAAAACACAAAACCTCTTCTTGTTTGGATCCCTGCACCGTGAATTTGAAGATGTGAAACTGAGAATGTTTGAAGCAGCTGAGGGATGGCTCGTGTGCTGGGTGTGGGACTTGGTTTGACTCCGTCCTCGTCATCCTCCTGCAGCTGGGGTGGTGCTCGGAAATCCAGGTGGTTTCTATCCAGTTTTGTGCTTTCCTAAAGAGAACGGCTGCTTTTCAGCTGCCTGCACTATCTCTTGGACAAGACGTTTGTGCTTGTATTTGGAAGCCTGAAAGATGCTGGTGCACAAAGGAGGTTTCCTCTTGTAAGGACCAGTCTTTCGCAGTCACCCTTCCCTAACCCCACCTCTTTCCAGGAACTGGCTGTAGCCAGGATAAGCCATCTCCTAATAGCAAGCATTATGCTAGAACGCTTTATTATTTAATAGCATTAAGCTTTATCACTGTGAATTGGCTTCCAAATGTAAATGGCTGCCTAGACCCTTCAGCAGTCATTATGAATAACAGGAGGATAAAAGCAGTTAATAGAGGGGAAATGCCCTCACACAGACAAAGAAAATAGATTTCTGCTAAATTGCTAGCACGCGGAGGGCAGTGCACACTTCCCTGAGGTAAAACTTGATTCTTTTACTCTACCACAGCGCCAAAATAATTCCCAAGAAGCAAAGGGATTTGCATTAGTGTAGCTGAGATTAGAAGCTGGGCTGTCCTTCCCAGACTCCAAATAGAAAAAAGAGATCCAGTCTTCAGACTTTGTATTGAATGACTCCCATGTGCTTGGAAGTTAGAAATTTTCCTTGTTAAAAATGAAGTGTACTCCTCGTGGGTCAGCTTCTGAGTTGCTGATGCTCTGTTTATTGAGTGTGTCAGCTAGGGCCTCAGGTCCGCAGAGGAAAACACCTATTCTGGAGCTGTTAAGAAAATGAAAATATGATCAAGAACTAGGTATGGATCAGCTGGATGTTCTTCATGTAAACCAGTGTTATGTTCTGTAGGTGCAAGGGCTTTTTTTTCAATTACAGGACCTAAAATAGAACTGAATATCTACCCCTTAAAACTTACAACCCCTTAAAACTTGCAAGGCACTTACTGCTGCTTCTAAAACAAATGGTGGGTTAAATCTCATCTCAGCGGAAGTCAGTGAAGACAAGTTTCTTGACCTCAGTGGAATCAGGGAAATATAGCTTCAAAGAGCTCATGGCACAAGTTCTTGAAAGGAACTGTTTAGTTTTTTTCCTACTAATTTTGGATGATCAGCTAAAGGTCATCCATAGTCAGGTTTTGGTTTTTTGAGGTAGAAAGTATTTTTGGAGGTATTTAGACATCATTCCTATCTATTTCAGCTGGAATGATGCAATATCTTTTTTTCTAAATATTCTGCTAGTAATTATATACTCCATGAAGAACCTCACCAAAAAAGGATGACTTTCTTTAAAATTGTAGGTTAAAACAATTTGGTCAAGAGCATAGATCATGTTCATAGCTCAAATAAGAACAGAAAATACCTGGAGATTGTGGGAAAAAAAAAAAAAAGCTCCTGAAAATTTATCAGCCAAAGGAAAAAGATTGGGCTATTATGGCATTTAGATAGAGGAAGTCCAGTTTACACAGGCTTACCCAGGATGCTGCCCTGCAATAGTTTTGAATTCGTTTTCCCAGTTAGGTCTTCCATACAAAGTTTTCTGTTTCAAGCCTGTAATCACATCTTTCTCTTCTTCATGATGCATTACAAAATGAGTGGCCTGTGGGAAATGAAAAACAAAGGACAGCATACAGACAGAGTTAAATACGGCAGCATTATGTCCTGTTAAAAAACAATGATAATAATAATGTCAATACACACTGAATTATTTCCAAACCAAAAATGTGGAATTTATGGTGTTTAGCAGGGAAAGCTAAAAATGGTAAAGTCCTGACTATCAGTGTCTATCTCCCCCTTGTCCCCAGACTGGGTGATCTCCAGAGTTCAAGCTATGAATCATTGAACACAGCGTTTAATTGTTTTTCTTTTGCAATGAACTGGTTTAGTCTAAGAACTCTAAAATAAAGCTGTAAATTAAAACAAAACTTTCCCTTCAGGTGCGATAGTACAGCTCCCTTGACCTTAATGAAGTCCTGCCAGTTTGGTCTCTGGAACGTTTGATCCATATGAGGAGGTCTCGTCCACCCTCCCTGTGTAACTGTCACCTAGACCAGCTAAGCTGAGTGGAGCCAGGAAGAGGAGAAGACGTGGTTAAGGGCATAAGTTCAGGCCTTGTGGAGTTCTGCAGCACCTTTATATGCCAAAAAAGTTACAGGTAACTTTCTCCCCAGGCAAGATTTGTGTGACTTTTCTTCTTTCCTTTCTGTTTTTCCATTTGTTGTGTGATAAATTCCTACCTTCCTCCTGCTCATCCCTCTCTGTCTAGTTGACCTATAGCACTTCAGGCACATGGTGAATTTTGCAACGGTGAGATATAAGTAAAATAAAACATCACTAAAAGTAATGGAGTGAGCACCTTTCCTGACTCAGTTACACATTATCAAGTGGCTCGTGGAAGAGCTGCTCCTTTGTGTCTCTGCAGTGACCTACATGCATGGGATCAAATAGAGAACTCATGAGAGCCCCGAAACAAATATGCTGCCATCGCCTCAAGCCTCATGCTTAGCTTCTCCGGTCCCAAATGCTGTTAGAGATACTTGAACGGCCAGCTGAGGTGGATGCTGTGAGGAAGGACTGCTTCGCAGAGCGCACAGCCAGAGTAAACAAGAAAGGGAGTCAGGGTGCACATTAGCAGCTGATCCCGTGTAACTTCTGATGGATAATACCTGTCTGCATTTAAAACCTCCAAGAGCCAGATGGAGGTCCAGGATAAACACCATTTATAGCACACTAACATCAGCCTCGGTGCATATGGAAGCGATATATTTCACCGTGTTGTTACCTGAGATTCATCCCAGCCTGTAAGGTAGATGTTATAGCTGAGAAAGTCTGCGTTATTCCTCTCCTGCATTTGAGCCTCCAGAGATTGCAAGAGGTCAGCAAACCATTCAAAGGCATGAGTGTCCCTGCAAAGCCAGTAAAAATAGATCTGGAAGAGACAAGAGTGAACTGTCAGGGGACGCAGGCACTTACGGTTTCTGGTTTTACATCTGTGACAGTATGAGGATTGTAGAATTCTTGTAGAAATTGCCCTGACCACTTCAGCAGATGGGTAGGCTGCTATTGAAGCTTTTCAGGAGTTTTAATGCTGGGACGGTTGGGAAGCAGAATGAGCGACTGCAAGAACAAGGAAACATCTTTCTATTTCTCTTCCACCAGTGGGTTACATTTTCAGTTCATGATGTTTCCCCACTTGTAAAACAGTTTGTTAGGACATAAATTAATGATTTAGAGGCAAACTCTATCTCCCTGTCTACTGGCAGGCAAGGTAAATTAAAGCAGGTAACAAAACCAGTTCTGTTCTCTGGATGTGACCATAATGGCAGAGTGTGACCCCGCACTTCTGCTCAGGGAGTTTCCAGGGGCAGGAGGCGAGACTGAAGTTGTTCTCTCTGTGCTTGGGGAAGGAATGCAATATTTGCACAGGCTGTGTTAATGCCTTGGACTTGTGTTTCTCACACAAATTGAAGAACATGTCCACTGCCAGTGGAAATCCCCAGGGCCACAGTCAGGATTTGCATGTGTGATTTTGCTTGTAGGCTATTTCTCCTTTCGTTATGTTTTTGCTTTTGACCCTCCCGCTTCCCTGCCTGCCCTAGTCTTGTGAGGTAACTGGACTCATCTTTTAGGACTCACACATGTCTAGAGCCAGGCCACCTTTGCTGGGCCTGTTTTGATTTGGGCTGTCGGCCCTTCAGCAATTACATGGGTTCTGAGAAAGAGGACACGCACTTTTTTGAGTTTCAGGTTGGTCGCATCGTGGCAGTATTTGTACCAGACAGACTTGAGTACAGATGCAAAGGGGGTGACACCTATTCCAGCTCCAACAAGCATAACAGTTTCATAACTGAATACGTCCTCACTCGCTGTTCCAAAGGGGCCATCCACAGCTATCCTGAAATGGAAAGTACATTTAATAAATCAATAGTGAATATTTATTAGCACCATTTAAAATAACAATTGTAAGGTATTTGTCTGCTACAATGCACGTTTGGGTTGAATACTAGCCAACAAAACAAGAGGTGGGAAACTGGAAAGAGCCTCCCGAGGCCCACATCTATGATGGAAGTGGTTAAGGATTATATCACAGGTGCCACCAAACGTGTTGAGCAAAATTTAAACTGTCATAGATGTTAGCTGACTTTACCATGGATGCTTTTTGTACATACTTGGGCATCTTCCATGCCTCCTGGAATTCTTGCTTATCACATCCACAGGCATTGAACAAGCCCTCTGTCCAGTCCCCTACAATGCGGACATGAATGCTGAAGTAATCCTCTTCTGGAGCAGAGGTTAATGTAAACGGATGCCATTCCAGTTTAGACACTGCTGGACATTTGACAAAAATGTATTGCCCAACCTCCATCTTGAAGCCCTTCTTCATCATCTGGAGCTCAATTGTCTTGAAGGGGTGAATGACCACCTACAGCAAGAGGGACAAGAGGAAAAAAGGGAAAAGGTTTCTCTTCACTGTTCGCTACCTACATCCTTCATCACGAACATCGTCCTCTGCTATGTGAGCGAGGAAAACAGGTGAAACTTTGTTCACAGCAGAACTGGGAGTGAGGAACAGCACCTGACAGCCAGATGAGAGACTGCAGAAGATGCTGAAATTTTCGTTGAAGTATTTTTTCACACCATGCTTGCAGTTACTCAGAAAGGGAGAGGTCAGACTGGCACGTCACCAGATTTATGTATGCATATCGTTAAGTCCAGATGCACCTTACACAGTGGCACAGAGCATGCTGTTAATAAATTTGACTTTATACAAAGGGGCAAAACCGTAGGGCAATCATACAGATAGGGAACTGGATAGATAGTACCACTGGAAACTGATGTTTTCATGTTATAACTGGTTGGGACCCATAATATGGGCATTTGCATTCTGCCTACATTTAGCCAAGACTAAATAGAAGCAATATTCTGGAAGCAAGGCTGGTATTTCCATCACTAGGATTTTTTAATCCTAAAGTTGTCTGCCACGGCTATTTTCAATTTTCAGAAGGCATTTGCAAGAGGGAGTATGAAGTCTCCCTCTGTATTAATGTAGGTAGTAATAATAGCGCTTAGGACTGTGGAAGAAATTTTCTGCCAACATGGAGCTAAGCAGACGCCATAGACATATGGTGTAGAAATGGATCAGAGAGATTTTGGTAAAATTACCGAAAAGCACACTAGTATATAGGAGCCCTCCAACATATCAGCATTGTGCTAGGGCACAGCAGAGACATCTAATGTCATCCCCCAGAGCCTGCTATGACTTGAATAGCGTGTGTCCAGAAGGTGCAGCACAGTGCCATGTGAGGATATTACTTTGGGAAAGGCCAGGGCAGTTTTTATACATCTGAGCTTAGAACCACGCTAATTTGGCTGTCAGACTTTCAGAACCAGCATTAATATCTCTGGAACACACCATGAGGAGTGGAAGCTCAACATTAACTTTGGCTGCACAAAATAGGCACCCTCTAACTCTCCTTTTCAGGAGTCATTTGTTCTGCTGAAAAATCAGAATTCCTAAATATCTGGGTAGTTTTGAAATCAAAGATTTGGTATCTTAAATACTCTTAAGGCTGTGGAATTTCTACATTATAGATTTTTTCACTCAGTACGAAGGAAATTAATTTCTCTTTCCTAAGATTCAGTCTGTGCCTTAACTAACTTCCTCATCTCGCTCTCTTTTAGAGAGAGGCTACATTTTGATGTTAGAGGTTGGCATTATTTTTGCATGATAGCATCCAGAACATGGATCCATACCTTTGTGATGACAACCTTCTGCTGTGACCTCCAAAACCGCACCAACCTCTCACACAGGTACAAAAACATGGGACCTACTACCCACTTCCATGTCTGTAAGCAGAATAAAATGAGAAGTCAGATGATGAAGATGGCAACTTACATTAAATGGAGTCCTGGGAATGCTATGAGCAGACGTGAAATTCAGGTAATGCAGGTTTTTTATCAACCGGAGTATGGAACCCTTAGGAGATACACCACCTTCCAAATTACTTCTGATCAGAGAGGGAATTTCTTTCTCTGTTGAGAGCTACAGCTGGCTTTTTAGTTGGTACTAGAGTTACACCAAGGTATTTTCCTATGAGTGATTTTGTCTCTGTCTAAAAATTAAGGTAACTAAGTGAAATATGGAGTAAAGCTCTGACTGTATTATTGACTCAGGTCTGTATTACTGCAGGAAAAGATGTGGCTTCTGTTAACAGATCAGTCTGAAATGTGAACAAACAACCAGCCTGGTTAGTCAATAAAAGCTGAAGTTTCCATGTCACCTGTCCAAAGACATTAATTTTCTGTTAATGATCGTTAGTCCATTAATAATGTGAAACTATTTATTACGTGGATTATAGCATGTTCTAGAAATCCACACAAGCCACAAAACTCATTTTGGGTAAACAGTTCTCAGATACCATTTGCTCTTTTGCTTTGCCTGTTAATTGTGCTCATTTTACAGCACACTGGAAATGAGTTGTCTGTCTGTCTGTAGTCTGTTTCTGCTTATAATCCATTGTGTCAAAATCTATTGCTTCATGTAAAGAAAGCTGCCACTGAAGAGCACTGGGGGTTAGCTGCTTTTCTGCAGCAAGTGCATATGTTTTTTAACAAAAAGAGTAAACTGCGAAGATTTGAAATTGGATTTACACTCAAGACAACAGCTCTTACCATAGGAGGATTCCCTGAAAACTGGGGGATGGGGCAAGCCCCCTTCTTTCCCCAGTCAGTGAAGTTCTTGTAGCAAATCTCTGGATTATGTGCATCCAGACTCTCAGCTGTCTGCCCTCGCACAATACGCCTGGAAAAAAATAAAAATCATTAAAGCAACGAAATGAAAATGAAGGTGTCTGTCCCTTATTGCTATTCTGTTTATGTACTACTCTGTTTATGCGGAGTTGTGGGCTTCTGCAGTGCTACAGCTTTGATACAGCTTTACTGCTCTAATAAACCCTCAAAATTTCTATTAAAAGATAAAAATGGGGAGGTAAGTTTGTAGGGGAAAATACTGACTACAAGATCAGGCGAGGAACTGTGAGGTACGCCCATTACCATTTCCAGGAGGTGGGCACAACAGGAAAGCTTCAGTCTTTTCAGAGTTATCCTACATTTTTCTTCAATAAAAACAAAACCTGGAGTGGGCAAGGTAATCGATTTCCTAGTGACCAGTACAGAAATTATTTCTGTTGTTTGTCTTAGAAACTGGAGAGCCCTTTCCAACACACATTCTTCCTTTCACCCTTCCTCTCCCTTTAAAGCTGTGGAGTAGCTGTGGAGTTGGTGTGAATGAACACAGATACTTCTGACACAAAGCAGCTATGCCAGCTATACCAGCTTATGTCAGTTGACGATCTGGCCTCTCTATGCTTGCTTGGTGAGGGTTTTGTTGTTGTTGTTGTTTGTTTTACTATAGAGAAGCCTGACTGCTCCAGTTCAGCTGTGTTTCCAGTGGCAGAGCTAACGCTGAAAGACAGTTTCAGTTTTGAAGGGGAAAAATATATTCTGATCTTGTTCACTATTTCCCACCTCTGACTGGAGTTCTGTCAACCTCAGGGGTGTGTGAGAGTCCCAAAAATGATGGTAATTATTAGGATGAGGGTCACAGTAGAGAAATTCAGATTAAGATTTGCTGATTTTCCCTAGACTTGGTCTGATTCTGATCAGGCTGTTCAGTTTTATGCTGATATGATTCTGTTGATATCTTCTTCCCTTGACTTCTGTTTCTGCTTTGCTAGCTCAGTTTCCGCAAACTAGATTATGCTTCTGATGTTGCAAAAGGACGTGGTATCTAAGTCATATGTATGCCTAGCTTGAAGTGACAGTTTTATCAGAGGATTATTAGAAAGCCTGTGCACAGTCTTGAAAGTTAAAAGATTTCACTGCTCATAGATATTACTAATGAACTTCTTCCTCATTAAAGGTTTGATTAACATCCTGCCTCAAAAATAAAGGGAAGGAACAACACTGTCCCAGGAGCATCACGAGTTGCAAATTGCAGGAACATCACCAGTTGCAGTTTACTTCCCCACTAGTAACAACGGGTTCAGCTGAGCCGCCCTCTGGGATGAGTTACGGGAACAGGAGGAGCCCATTTCCTCCCACTCCTCACCCCATTGCTTAAGGGAAAGTGGGCCTGAAGGTTTTTGCCTTGCCCTGTGCTCCTTTCAAGGTTTAACAATGCCAGTGCCTTGTACAAGAATTATTTTTTTTTTTTAATTTTCAAGGCCAGGTTGGATGGGACTTTGAGCAACCTGCTCTAGGGAAAGCTGTCCCTGCCCATGGCAAGGGGGTTGGAACTAGATGACATTTAAGGTCCCTTCCAACCCAAACCATCCTATGATTCAATCTATGATTTTCCCTTATTATTCAGTGTAGATGATCTTCCAGTACTGTAATTAAGCTTTCAGTAGTATAACCTTCTAATTACTTCTTTTTTGGCTACAAGTTTTACTGTAGCTTCCAAGGCAGTGTGATCTTAATCTCTGTACTCTCTCCTCTTTACATCTACTGTGATGGGAAGTTTGGAACATTTGTCTGTGACAGATAGCTCGTGCACAAAAAAAGTTGGTGCTACAAATGTGCTCTAACACCTTGTAACAGACAAGAATCTGCCCCTTCAATTCTATTAATTATCTTTGGTTCAGTTTTTTGTATATACCTATACGTATGTATGTACATATACATATGTATGACACAGAGGCTTCTGTCTCCTGAGATAAACTGACATCTATGCCTCTCTCTAACATGCTACTTTGAGACTGTCAGATCATACTTATTCCATAAGATCCAACTTTGTACACCTAAGATGCCTTCCTTGAGTGTAAAAAGCCTGTAGAGTATTTTTTAGTGTATTAGTATTTTCTCTGAACTCAAAATGTCACTCTTGCCTTTAAGGTCAAACAAGTGAGGCCACTGAGTTCACAGCCAGAAAGCATCCTCCTCTCTATAGATAATAATGTTCCTGTGTTTATCTCCTTCCAAAGGATAGTTGAACTTCTCTGACAACCACGTTCAACCCCACTGCTGCCTAAACTCTTGTCTTTTCGGTACAATGCAATTAATATGGTGGAAGTGTACTGAACATCCAAGTGAATAAAAAGTCAGCTTTTACGAAATATACGCTCCTTACTGACCTCTAGAAAGAGCAATGCTTGCTTTCTGATGGCATTGTGTAGTAACTGTTCACAAGTTTGGACATTTTGTCAGTAACTAAACAATATTTGCTACAGGAAACATGAACCATTTGTTCTTTTCCTTCAACAGGGTTTTCTCAAACTTTCTGGTTTTGGAAGTTGGAATGGACAAATATATTGGTGGCGATTCTCATCTGCCTTCTATTTTTGTTCTTCCTGTTGTACTCTCGTTTCTGTCTTTTTTCTGGCACTACTGGACTGAGGGGAAGTGTTTTTGAATAGTCATTTTTACTGGGCATTTTTAAAGCACACTTTCTAGTGCACCTAGAATTTCCTTTCAAATGGACAATATAGTGTAATTATGAACTATAAAATGTGGCTTGGCTACTTCAGCCTTTTTTTTTTTCTTTATGCATAAATTCCGTGGTTTTATAAAATGGAACTAGAGTTAATTTTTCTAGGTGCTAAAATTGTGTTTGTGCAGTGCTAAAACTGTTGCATTAGGCTTTTCAGCTATTTCAGAAGGCAAACAGTGGAAAAAGATGTTTGGCATTTGGAAGTTACAAAAACTTACAGTTGGCTATATTTGAGCTGCAACAGCTGAAAATCTGTTGTGAAATGCTGCTGATATTAAAGTTCATCCAAGTCAGAAAGATAAGTCTGTGTTATTATGGTTTTCATTTACCCAGCATAGCCCTAGACTCTATATCATTGCTATGCTGAGGTCTCCTTACATGCACGTGATGCAATTCCTTTTATGAGAAAGATAAATTAACAATTAGAAATGGGAACCTTGGAAAAGAGCTTTCCAACTGAAATATCAGAAGAAGTTGAGTATCAGTGAGAGCCTCCTGGTGCTCAGAGCCTGTATTGGCCCATCATTAACATCAAAAATAACTGCAGCTTAGTTACTTAAGTCCCTATACTTCTGTGTGTAGAGGGCTTTACATTAAGATACAGTAGTTATCACGTATAGTGTGATAAGCGTGAATACTCACCCAGCACCATGGATGACAAGGCCAATAAAGAAGATGACAAAGAGATGGTGGGTGTACCAAAATACTTCAAAATACGACCTTCGGATGGTCTTGGTGGATGACGTGATGATCAGTATGAGGGCCAGCGTGATGATAACGCCAGTCAGACCAGCCAAGTACGTGAAAGCCACATATAGGCCCCCCACAGGATTCTACGAAATAATTGCACACATTGGTCTAAGGAAGGGGTTGCGTCAAAGCAGAGCCAGCTGAACCATCAGTCTCTCACTCGCCAAATCCTTCACCTTGCTGTGTCTGAGTCATCATCTGTGAATTTGTATGCCAACAATGCCAAAATCCCACTCCATTTTTGTTGCACTGCAGATTTACCTTTACTAAAGTAAGTGGAAGCAGAGAGAAAGGGTTTTCCACTGATTCACACACCAAACATTGTTTCTTACTCTGCCACTGCCCAGCAGTATGGGCTTGGGAAAGGTGAAGACATTTGCACAGCTCTGTTGTTAAGAGCTGGAGTCCTAACATCCATATTTAGGGAGCTAAAGGAAAGGTCTCCTTTTCAGTGGCGTTGCGCAGTTGTGGGCCTCATAAGTCACACAGAGATTGAACCCTCGGTGCTTCTGAGGAAATGGGAAGTTCCTTTTTTTATTTTTATTTTTTTTAACCAGAGCTTAAGCAGTCCACATTCAAAACTTTTTTGATCTTTGCGTACCTTTCTGTGTGCCATGTCTACCTTGGTCAGAAGACTGCTTTACAGGGTATTTGTTTTTACATAGTGTTTTAAAACTACTTTGAAATCCTCAGGTGAAAAAGTTTAAAGTACTACCAAAATCCAGCAACAATATTACTGACAGAAGAATATATTAGACAAGTTTTTGCTGCAAGATGGCCCAAATCCAGATTCTGCACACCAGAAGGAGACACTCTGCTCAAGTAGTCTTATATGATCATCTAAACAAATGTAATAATGACTCTTCCCAGCCTCACGTCACTTACCTGAATTTTATTTCTATAAAAGTTGATGTAGCTTTCATGTGGCTTATCACCAAGGCTAGAAAGCACAGCTGCCAGAGTTCCTTCCTCTTCAACACGGGCTTGCACACTCCACTCTACGTTGAATAAATGTGCGATGGTGTGAATTGCTGGGAGTGTCAAGAAGGAAATAATCAGGGTTAGGCACAAGTACTCAGTGCTTTTGGGTAACATCTGAAACTTTGTAACGTTTGTCAAGTGCAGCTTAACTCCTTTGCCACTCTCACCCTCTCCATCGCAACCTCAGATCACTGATGGGTTTCACTGTTAAAGCTTTAACATCTGAAGCTTACCTGCTTTTGGGTGGGGGAAGGAAAGAACTAAAGGAACATTTCCAGCACATCTTTTTTGAATAAAGGCTTTCAACAATTCAAGTAGTTGCACCCTAATACCTGGGAAACTGAAGCATGGGATGGCTTAAATTCTTTGTCAGGATCATCCGGGATTTCTGTAGAAGCACCGAGAAGTCAATCTGAATCTCTTTGGTGTCACATTTGCTAGCGCTGCTTTGTTCCGCTGTATTGCTAATAACCACTAATAATGTTCTTGCTGAGCTGGACGTGTCCGTAAACCTGGTCCAGCTGAGGCGTTTCACACTACTTCCATTACAGATCATTGCAGGGGTAAGCCATACAACGCTTTTCAAAATTTTTCCCCTTTTGTATCACCAGCTACTTATTCACCTTCAAAACAAGGCCTGATGGGTACAGATCCAACACCTCCAAACAATCCGTCTCTGCTGCAGACCTCCTCTGTGGCCTTATCTTACCTGCATCACCCTGCTCCTTTTCTGTGAAGTGCTGGTGAGATTTCAGCCACCGCTCAGAAAGGGAACCTACTCAGCTCAAGTCATCTACTGGTATGAAGACTGTTCTAGGGTATAGGATTTGTAAGGTTGCATTGGGAAGTGACAAATTTGATGAAAAAAAGATAGCAAACCCGGAGTTCAGGAAACAACAGATAAAACATGAAAACATTTCCATGGCCTGTCCAAGTTTTTTATACCCTTTTATTTCATAATTTCTATTATTTGTTTCAGACATGCCAGCTAGGAAATAAGTCTAAACAAGAATTAAAGCCACGGTACCTGGTTCTCAGGGCATTGCTAAACACCCTTTATTAACCAGTGTCATAAATGGGGACGATGGTTCAAGAGAAAAGCATTCTTTCTTATTTATCTTTTGCTGTTTGCCAGTTGCAGAATAATATTTGGAAATTGATTTAAGCCTTAGCACATGCTGACTCCTATAGGTTAATAAAAACAGGTTTCTGCCCATATCCTTAAGAACTTGAATCCCACCTGTATTCTGTGTTAAATGCATGAGAAAGCAATAAACAAAGATATATTTGAGAACAAACCTGTGTGAAGGGCGATCATCCATGCCACCATTTTGTGAAAGGTAAGGTTCCTGTCCAGCTGTCGTCTGATACGGGTAGAGCAGCACTTTGAGTTTGAAGAAAAAAAGTATTTGAAGACCATTTGAGATGTCTATGCATGCTTCTTTAAATGCAGCGACAAAGACTCAGGCCCTGAGCACAGCTGGTGGCATTGCTAGTAAAAATCTAAAATTCCTGAATACGGACAAAGATATTTCTCCCCATACATCAGAATATGGGAATAACAGATTGTGTTTTAACATGTCCCATTGAAAAAAAGTATGTGATAATGGGAAAAAAACTTAACATCCAGTATGACAAGTATATATCTTATCTGTGTTAAATTATACATTAGAAACAGAAGAAGGGATCACAGTCTGCCATGGCAGGGTGACTGCTTTGGTACAGTCTCCTGTTGCCACCTAGCATTAAGAGCCTGTTGTGGTTCACACTCTAGAAATGGACTGTAAGTTTGGGTATAACTATCCCAGGGAGCTCCCACCCAAGATGTGCCAGTCACTTATGGTCGATAATAAGAAGTGTTTCGTTCCCCAAAATACTGAGTGTACTTTCTGGGCATTCACTGACAACTTGTTGCTAGAGTTACCCAAAGAGAAACAGAAAGGAAAAAATCTCTGCTGATACAAATTGAAGAAGTTGGTTCTTAGGAAAAAATGAATTATATTTTCGTTAAGAATGATGACAGGTTCTTAACAGACCCCATCTAAATTGTGCTGTAGTCAGTGGGACTTTTCCTGTAAGTTCCTGTAAAGCTAGCATTTGTTGTCTCCACGCAGTAGAAAGCATGATTGTCCTGTATTATATCTTTATATTGCTTTTGCTCACTGGCAAAGGGAAGAAAACACTATTCAAACTAACACAGACTTTTCCTCACAAGAACTATGTAGACATTCCACGCAACAAATTAAGAGAGACCAAAATATTCTCCCAAATGTTTGGTGGACATTAACTTTGTAGGTGGCAGGGTAAGGTAATGTACCTTCCCAGCTAGGAGTGAAACAGAAGAAGGGATGATGAAACACAAGAAGAATGTAATTTCTGATTTGTTCTTTACTTAGTGGAGACACACCAGCAGTGGCCTTACTCTTCCATACAAGTCCATTTTTAAATATCCCATGAGTATTAACTGTACAGCTAAGTAGATGAGCAGGAAACAGTTCTCTCCTTTGGTTATTCTCCAGCTGTGATATTGATTAAAGTGCAAACTCTAACACTGGGGCTATTGCAATGACTTCAGTAGACTATAACAACAGCCAGGAGAAATTTGGCCTTCTCTGTATCATGTATCTTGAGACACAATTAAAAAGATTGTAGAATGAACTGTAGTGTAGCGCAGAAGTGCCAACTCTGCCTGAGTGCCTTGCAAAACCCTCTTGATCTTTCTGATTAAGAAGCAGAAGGCCAAGCAATGGCAAAATGCGATAGCTGGATTCAGTAATGAGGCTCATTAACAACAGTGATGAATACAGCAATAAAAGACATGTAAAGACAACACAGCTGTTCTTTCAATTAATAGCAAATAACTTTGTAGCGTATGATTTCTGGGTGGCAGGATGTCAAGGGCAGGAGTTGCTGGCACATTCCTGTTGAACGATGGGTTTGAACGATTCTCCCTTCTCCTTAACCCCAATGACATTGCTGTTGGAAAGGTCACTACCCTTTCAGTAAGTTATTTGACATTTAAAACTCCTGATTTTTCTGCAGAGATCCTCACAGGTGTTACTCGCAGAGCACAGCTAATTAGAGACAACAGCAGAACAAGCATAAGCACCTGTACCCCTGCGCGAAGGCCACCACAGTCCTGACACTACCGCTGACACAGCGGGCTGTGCGTGTTTTGCTGAAGATATAAAATTGCCTCTTTCCTGACGTATGGCTTTATTGCAAAAAGCAGCTGAAGTTAAACAAACACCAGCTGTCTAACAGTCCTATTTTACGCTGGTCCCTCCCCTCCCTGCTGATCCCCAGAGCCCTTTGCTTCCTCGTACAGCCTAGCACTGCCAGCGAGACAGGGAGCCGCAGGCAGGCAGCAAAGACGGAGCCGTAGCTGTCCGCGTGGTTCTCTCCTGCTGTAAATGGGTGTTGTATCAGTGACAAACCAGGCAAATGTGTGCAAGCACCACCTGTGGCTGCTGCCAGCCAGAAGCGGGAATTGGCATCCAGGGCAGCACGTTGCCCAGGAGGTGAGAAAAAAGGGAAGACACAAAGGAGACTAACTCAAGGCTAAAGCTCTCAACAAGAGCTCTAGGTATACCAGTGGCATATAGACCTCAGTCTTGCTCATAGCAAAACTCCAGGCTTATCTACTTCTTAAAAGAGGACATCCCCAAAGTACAGTATATTTGGGGAACTTGGATGAAGTTGCTTGGTATATTTGCAAGGCTGCTTGGGTTATTCTCTTTCATAGATTTTGAAATTCTTTCTTCATCTTACCGCACTTGATCCTCTGAGGAAGGAGAGCAAGTTTCGACATACTGGCAGCAGAATCAGCATGCAGTTGAAATTCAGACAAGCTGCAGGGGCTCTTGCCAGAGCCAAAGCACGCTGTAATTGGAGAGATGGCATTATTAAATGAATTACCTACCCAGGACAACACGGATAGGAACAGATTTCATTTATGTATTAGATCACAACTTTTCATGAGTGTGAGATCTAGAGTTAATGAACAATGTTCACATTTTGGAGTAGTCACGCTCTAGCCAAGTCAGAGGCACATACGCAGACAGAACAAATTCCTCCAGACAGACACCTTTGATTTCCAGTTTTGAAATAATATGGTTGTACGAAAAGCTCCCTGTCATGTCTAACAATCAATGGCCAAGCACAGGTGCAAGTCTAAGCCATTACTAGAGTTTTCTGTTCCAAGACTGTAAAGAAAGCCTCACTGCTGTGGTTTCAGTTGGCTGGAGTGTTATGGTAGACAGAAGGACGGCTTATGAGGGAAGTGGTTTTATGTTCTCTGTTGTCAGCAAAGGGAGTCTAGGGAAATTTGTTGCCTCATATGTTAGGAATATGTTCCCTTAATGTTGCTCTTTACATTCTGAATGATTTCAGATTTTTGAACAAGGACTGTTTGAAAGGAGGGAATAATGACCTTATTAATCCAAACACAATGAAGGGAAGGAAGAGATAATGTTTGCTCTTCTCGCATTGATTGGGACCCTTTCAGGTTTCAAATCACAGTTACTGACTTAGCATTGCACTGAGCTCTAGTTATCCAAACACAGGTCTCTGTGGCTTCAAAGGCAACTGCACCATGATTGCAAAGGACAGAATTTGATCCATAGATCAAATCATAGCCGTATGCAGAATGGGATTTCATGCTTTGTTGAATTAAACCATGGCTTTGCAAACCTTTTACAAAGTGCTGTGTTCTGTAATTTGAAGCTTAGACTGATTTTTGTGTCTACGATCAAGCTTTGTATAAAAAAAATGAACAAATGAATTTTCTCTGTCAATTGGTCATGATTCGCTCTAGCTTTGGAAGCAAGTTTGTAGTAGGACACATGATGCTGAATTAACCCTTGGGTTATATGGAATAACCCAGGGTCCAGGATCACTTGAGTACTTGACTGCTATTCACACATTTGAATATGTGAATGATGATTGCTTTGTAAACTATTCATGGTATGAAAAATGATTGCAAGGGGAAATGATTGCACAGTAGTTCAATGGCAATATTTTATTCATCTTTTGCTTTATAAAGCAGCCATAATTCACATTCACTTTAATTACCAGGAGCATAATAGTTACCTGAAAATGTCTTTAGAATGGGATCGCTCTATTTTGTGAACCAGCTGTCTATTCAGAAGCCCTGGATGTCTGTCTGCATTCAGTGACCAGTTTGCACGTGACTTTTAACTCCTACATGAGCCTGCTGCTCCAGCCACTTGATCATGTTTCAATCAAATAAAACTAGGAAAAAATGTGATGTGCTCTCTCTATGCCAAATTAATACATGTTTTGTACTTACGCCAAGGAGTACTCTGGTGTAGAAGAATTTTGGTGGGACATCATACACAAGATAGTACCACCAAAAGAGGAAGACATTTAAGCCCAGCCACACAAGCTGAAAGAGAAACAAACAGGAAACTTTACAGTTTGTTGTTAGAGACCACACATCTGAATTTACACAGTTCAGATAATGGTCAATTAGTTCATTGTGCTCCTGTTTGCACAGAGACGTGTAGTGAATTGGGCTGTGATGTGTGCAAACAGGAGCACAGGAGTGGCAATAAACCAAAATACAGCAGTGGGTAGCTGCAACTTTTCCATAGCTCAAGGGGTTTAGATATGATTATATAAGGACTGTCATATTACAGGTGTTTAGTTAAGTCTGTGAACCAAGCTGAATCTCCAAACACCAATAAAGGTTAGGGCCTCTTCCAAACGGCAGTTCCTCAGACACATTAACCTATGTAAGGGAAGACTTAAGAGCTGTGCCAAAGGAAAAAGAAGCCTGAGATCTAAATATAGATGGCCTAAATTACACATAGAGGCTAATTGCACAGGAGGCTCTGAAGGTCTGAAGTCAGTCAGCGGGAAATATTCAACGCGGGCACTTTGGAAGGGTTTAGACTACCCGAAACTGTGTTTCAGAGTAGCTGTACTGCAGTACTAAGCTACCTAAGGGAGCTACAAGCCTATCCAGGCACAGAGTCCGTAATGAATCTGGGCATTTGCCCTTCTGGAGCTGGTTGACTGGTTTCACCTCCCACAGTCAAACCAATCTGTATCAGTGCACCTTTAGCCTAAGAGGGTTTACTAGGTGGTGCATGAAAACAGAGGAGAGAGAATCTGAGAACTGGGAGAAAACCCAGTCTCTGGTTATAAGTTAAGGATGCCAGAAACTGTGACATTACAACCCCTCACCGCTTGTAACCCATACTTTTTGCTAGTTCTTTGGCCCAGCTGACACTGTAAAAAACTTGGGATTAGTTTAGGTCTTGAAAATATCTTACGCTTGTGGCATAAATACAGGGAAATGAAGGGATTTCCATCAGGGTAAGGCAGTATGTGGGAAATCTGCAAATCCTTATCAAAAAACTAAGCTCATCTCAGGATTAAATGTTTAGGATACGTATTTAAAGTGAGACCGCGCCAATCCCATGTGCCTGACAGCATGCCCAGAAGACCAAGATGTCTGACATGATCCTTGATGGTCTCTCACAGTTCTTCTTGGTGTAGACCCATACAGAACCTGGAACCTTTGAAAAACACTGTGACATCCTCTGGCAGCTTGGGTTGAGCTGCACAGTCAGCAGCCATCCCTGCTCTTCAGCTAGGGGGAGCGGAGGCAGCACTGGCTGGGGATAAGGCTGCCATGTTTCTGTTTTGTTGGGGTAAATCGATGGAAATCGTGGCTGTCTTGTTTCTGTCAAGCACTGGACAACCCTGTACTGAGTCAGTGTGCAGTAAAGCTGGAGAGGACAATGCAGAACACTTCGGTCAGGCTTCTAGTGAACTGTCCTTTTAGCTGGTTTCTTTATCAGTGAATTCTTTAGTTTCCTTCCCTATTAACAGACCTTGTTATAGCTTTGAGACTCTAAAAACAAATTCCTTATTTGAACAAAATAAGGGCCTCTTAATTCTTTTCAATATTTCAGTTCTAGTTGAAAAAAACTATGCCAGAATTCACCTCTTGGCAGTTTCAACTTCCTCATGTCACTGAAGGTGACAGCAAACACAGCTACTCCTTTTCAAAGCACAGAAGTGCCGGGGTTATGTTCCCAAACTAGAGCTACACATCTGCAGTGTAAAGGTAATATGTCAGTATCGGTCGTTCATAGCAGCAGAAATAACTTTTTGAATAAAGATATTCACATTTCAGTCACCAGAAATACAGAAGTTCTACCTCTTCTTTTTTACCTCTCAGTACTTACATATACTAACCACGCTTGGCAACAGTCCCTTAACTGGTATTACATTTTAGTCTTGTATATGTTTTTATTTACATATAGATATATATTTAAAATTGTATACCTATAGCTCTTGTATCACACTGTGAAGTGAAAAAAAGAAACCACTGAAATACTAACTTCTGTCTAAGTTTTCTCCAAGGAGGACTGCCTTGCGTTGCTCTTTAGCACTTTTAAACGCGACTGGGATTTTCAGTACTCTTAATTCCTGCTCAGAATGAATTTAACCTACTTTCACAGCCACTGTATGCAAGCTGTATACAAACTCAACTCAAATACTAGTTGTCTTAATGAAGGATTCATGAATCTCTGCACTAAATTCTGGAATCTGACTCTGACAAATTTTATACCATCACGACACTGTGCGTTCAGTTACACCCACTTTTGCTTATAAAACTGCAAGAACGGCTTGTCATTGTAATTGCTTTCTCTGTTGAAGCGCACGTAGTTAAGTGAGATGTAATGTTATTTGTTTTCCTCAAGTCACTGTTGCGTCCAAAAACCCCAGATACTTCAATATTTCTAACAAAGCAAATGAAAGTTAACATACAATTGTTTCTCAATTGACAATGAAGCCTACAGCAATTGAGATACCAGACAGAGCTCCTTAGAAATGAGTCTCTTGAAGCGTTTCACTGCACTTGCTGCCCCACTTTCAGCATAATCAGATGCATCGTTCACTGGCACCAAGAGATCTGCTTAGTACAACGTTCTGTAGAGCTTTTTACTAGACACAAATCACAATTAAAATCGTACTTACAACGACGAAGATGGACAGTCCTTCGTTCTCCACCCAGTTACCCATGATTGCCTGAGACGAGCGTGCACAATGGCCCTGTTCTTTCTGGGACAGCGTCTATGTCTTCTCTCATAAGGAAGTGAGAGCAGCAGCTTGCAGCAACCTGTTTCCTTTCTCATTCATTTAGGAAATAAGTTAACCATTGAATCATGCTCATAGTTCTGTTTCAAACAGGTTTCTACTATCTTTACGTATAACTTGTCATAACCCAAATATACACAAACTGTTGAAATAGACTATTTTTTGCCTTGTGATACAAAGGATAAAACAAATAACATAACTGGTCAGGTTTTCTGCTAAAAAATGTATTGCAACTTTATATAACTTTCAATGCTGAAATGTGATACAGAATGCACAGAAGAGTTCTCTCCTCCCAGCCTTGTCCTTTTTTATCACCTCAGGTCTGAGTGGCCGTTCCTGCTGCCCATGTCCACGTAATTTAACACTCCTCTTGCTTGGTACATGCAAGCCTTGCTACTTCCTCCCTGCTTGGGCTCAAACTGAGGATGTGTGTCTATAGAGAGGCGATTTCTCAGATTTTGCACCCTCGCGAAGTCCCCAGCCCCAGGAACCATGCCACCATATAAGAAAAAACTGAAAGTAAGTATTTTGCTTTTGTGATTAGAGAGAAAAATACGGGAAATTTTCCAAATGTATTTTAGAGCTTACAGGCCAAAGACTATTTATCCCAAATGTATTTTTTTAAAAAAAAAAAAAAGAGTTTAATGATTTCTGAATGTTTTGCCTCTGTGCTATCACAGTTCCCAAACCTGCAATAAAGAGTGCGAAATGGCAGATTGGAGGAAGCTTTGTGATTAAGAGGCACCACTCTCCGGCAAGGTGCGGGCCCTAGGGAGGAGCATGGTGTCCAGACGTGCCTCCCACCAGCTCGTTCTCCTGCGTATTCCACCCACAGCACCACAGAAATACAGATCTCCCCCCCAAAGCGACCGACACAGGTCCGTCTCCTCTCCAGAGGGGTGGAGTGTATGTAGGTATGGTGTTCTTTCAAGATCTTTTAGGCTTTGGACAGCAGCGGAGGGTCAGTTTGAGCAGCGGCATCTCTCTGCCGGAGCTGGACACCCCGTTGGAGCCTGCAGAGTTCTGTGGCTCTGCAAAGCCTGAGTGAGCTCGACGTAGCCCTGCATTGTGCTGACAGCTTTAGAGCATGGCGACATGGTCACGGGCCTGATCCTGACCCCCCTGGAGCAAACAGCGAGCTTCTCACTGCGCTTGTGTGGCTGGAGTTTGCTCTCTGGGGTAAAAGCTGATCCAATCTGCAGCTGAGAGCAAGACGTTGAGCCACCCATGAGGGCAGGAGCTGGAGAGCTGGCGACAAACCTGCGTGGCTCACGGCCATCAGAGGGGAGACTCAGCACAGCTGACCCAACTCTGGACTCACTTGGAAACAGGCTTTCTTAGGGCCTGGTTCTGGCAGCGATGAGATGTTTGGTCACAACGTAAAAATGCAGATGAAGGGAGCCGGGGTGAATACCTGTGTTCTGACCAGCGGCTCTCTTCCAGCCTCTGCTTCCAACATACGACTGCCTTCATCACATTTCTCCTGGAATGTGGCCTCCGTAAGGTGACATAACTGGGACTTGAACAAAGAAATTTCATTGCAGAAACAAACTCATGTGTTTCTACATTTTTCTGAAACAAACAGACAAACACAGCGATCTGAACGATGCAGATGACTTCTGCATTATTATTCCTTCCTGAGCCGTGTAGCAATGACAGCTCACACGTAGCCCGGGGATGAACAGCAGTCCTTCACCTCCTCACTCCGGCAGGACTGGCAGGGCTTTAATCCCCTTCCTCCACAGGAGCCTCCCAAGCTTCAGCAACTGAAAACCGAAATGAAGTCTTCAAAACCTGTTAAATGGGGTTTGCAGCAACCTCATTTGAGAGGCTCTGTGACGGGCCAGGCTGTCACGTGGTATCAGGCGCTTTGATGGCCATCCCAGAGGGATGTCAGAAGAGGGGCTGGTCCCTCAGGTTTTTGTTTATGGAGGTAGCCTTTGGGACCTAAACAGCTCACGGGGTTGGGGAAGGAAGGGAGGGGGGCAGTCCCGATTTGTGGATGTCCCTTCTTGCTGTGCAGACTAGCCCGTTCTCCCTGCCCAGAAACGGCGGTGCTGTCGCTGCCTTCTTCTTGCCCTTCGTTCAGGCGAAGTTACAGCTTCTCGGGGGTGAGCAAGTGCAGGCACCCAGGATGCTCTGAGCTTTGGCAGCCCTGCCTTGCCTGGAAGCTCCTCAGACACCAGAGCCACCGAAACACGGATTTACTGGCTTGGGAGGTTTCTGGCAGGCCACAAACCCAGCTGGGGCTGATCTTAGATCAGTCACAGCAGTTGCAAGGTCTGACGTCCTCTGCACAGCCTGAATACAGGCCATGAAACAGAATATATTTCAGCTGCTCCCAGCCCAGCAGTTATCAAATGCACATAACTGATCTCACTGCCCGAACTCAAAAGAAGGGTAGAGGTGCTGGGCCCTTCCACAGCTGGTGAGGGTTGGTGCTCCCTGATGCTTCCGAGTTTTCTCATTAATATCAAAAGTGATGGGACAATGCACAGCAAACTTTGCCTGGTTGCTGTAAGTGACAGGTGTGAGTAGGGCTGATACCAAAACCACCCACGCGTCACCCCGATTTAATTCTGGTGCGTGCACCTTCTGAATGAGTGAACGTCTTTGCTGTAGTATTACCGAGGCTTGCATGTTTTGTACTTTGGTCTAATTTAAAAAATGCATCCTGTACAAGAAAAGGCAATGTTGGCAGCTGTCTATTAATTATGTAGGAGTGTGTAAAACTGGAGTATGGAAAAAATTAAACACTGTCTCATTCCGTTTCTAAAATTTCTTTCAAGCTAGCTGATTATGCACAGCATTTTGCATCCTCCTTTGCACTGAAAAGTTCAGTGAACAGTGTTCCTTTTGCAGCATGACAATTTTGCTAAAGTATGCAGGTCTCAGGGTTCTGCATTTCCTCGCAGCAATTTTACCCCCTTGCTTAGGAATTAATGTAGTTCCTCTCCTGCTCTGTGCAATAGCGTTCTGAGTATTCCTGCAGAAATTTAATGCCAGGAAGTTGCAACAGGCCCAGGTGTGTCAAACCTGCCTCCTGAAAGGGACAATGTAAAATTCTGCATACATAAACCCCAAAAAAGAGAGTGATATGAAGAACAGAGTGAAAGAGACCCACCTGCTGCATTGCTGAGGATGCTGCTGAGCTGAGGTTGCTGAGCTCCTTCCCATGTAGCAGCAGGAAAGCCAAGCAGAGACCTCGATTAGCCTCTTTTATTTTGTAGGTTGAGATCTCTATTTTGAATGCTGTGCAATCCTTGTTTACCAACCTTCCCTTGATTCTACACCGAAGAGGAAGAAGCGGACAAGAGACTTGTCAAGCCCTCTTTTCTGAATGGACTCCCTTCACACAGCCTGAAGCTGTCACTGTATGCACTTGGCTTCGCTCAAGGGAATGAGATAGTCTGAAACTTCTGCTCTTTCTGCTTTGTTTACAAAATAAATGATTCCATGCTGAGATGAGGGCAGAAAAGTCGATGGATGTGAGCCAGGAAAAAAATGTCAGTGAGGCTCCAGCAAGGACTGGCAGATCCTTCTATGTCTTTGCTCTACACATTAACCCTCGGTGTAGGTCCCTGCTCTGGTACTTCCTCCCTCTGCCTTTTGCAATGATCATGAGACACCCACATGCTGTATTCAAAAAATCCATGTATGATCCAGATGCTATCTGTCATATCAGTCTTGGCCTGGAGTCAAATCAGCACTCCCACAAAACAGGCCAGAATGGCTGCGCACTGCTGCGTTATTGGGAGGAAAAGCCACCACCAGCAATGTGCCCCGTCTAAGTACAGACAGGAATTTTATCATACGAAGCTGGCAGTGGTTTCCAGGTAGAGCTGGAGTGAAGTTAGGACAGCATAACCTCCCATGCATAATGGCAGGGGCCAGAATAGCCTGGCTTCATGTGCGACTGAGGGAGAGAAGCCCAGTTTGCAGCCTTTCGGCAGGGTACAAGCTTTATCATCTGCTGGTCTGGCTCTGGGACTGGGACACGGCTGCCACCAATTCGTTTCTCCCTGTGTAGCTGGACTTCTCCTCCCGTGGCTTCAGATCCACCGCCTTCACACATGCCTGTGGCAGCCTGGGGTAACTCCTCTCTGCTCGGAGAGAGTGACCACAGTCTGCTGACCAGCAAGTGTCCACCCCAGAGAACATCTCCACATACGCAAGAGCGAGGGCAGCTTTCTCCTATGCTCTTACCGCGCACCGCCCACAAGGCTTCCAGCCCAGGCCAGGCTCCTTTTCTACCATGTCTCTGTTCAAAATCTCCTTCCTGCCTTCCCCTGGCAGCCTGCGATCTCTCTTCCAGTGCCAGGATGTCAAAACGCATTTCTGATGAGCAGCTGGCAGTCACAGGCAGGGTGGCGGGCAGTGGTAAGTGCTGAGGCAGGTTTTCCTTAGGTGTCTGTTGGGGCGCGTTTTCGTTCCTTGGAGGCTACGTGCAGTGCTTCTAAAGACACCGGGGGATCTGTGAAATTTTTCTGAAAGAGACGTAAAAGCTGAGAAAGAAAACAAGGCCACTGTCAGTAGATGTAAGTTTGCGTTTTGCATTAGACATTGATTTGCCATCCAGGGATCAGCACTTCCACAGGGAAGTATTTGAGGTGATAACAAGTTTAGAAACAAGAACGGAGGTCACTGGCATGAAACTTAGATAAAATACCAGCACAGCGTTGATTCACTGGCCACCGTGGCCTACAATCTCCAGACAACAACTTTTTTTTTTTCTCTTTTAACTAAAAATGCCGCTCTCTCACTGTTTCCCTCAGGATCCCAGCTCCCCCTCACGCGGCGCACTGCTGACTTCTGCAGCTACGTGCTCCCTGATGGATCTGACAAATCTAGCACGCTTGACCCATTGCAAGCCTTCTGGTGTTAGAGAGGCAAGCTGCCTTGTGCGAGGATTTCCCTGTTGCTCCACATCTATCACCTGTCCCTCATCT